CCTTATTGTGCCCAACTTTGAATGAAATATTCCCTTGGTATCTCTAGTTTTCTTGAAGAGATCTCTAGACTTTCTCATTCTATTGTTTTCCTCTATTTCTTTGCATTAATCGCTGAGGAAGGCTTTCTTATCTCTCCTTGCTGTTCTTTGGAACTCTGCATTCAAATGGGAATATTTTTCCTTTTCTCCTTGCTTCTGCTTCTCTTCTATTCACAGCTATTTGTAAGGCCTCCTCAGACAGCCATTTGGTTTCTTTGCATTTCTTTTTCTTGGGGATAGTCTTGATCCCTGCCTCCTGTACACTGTCAGGAACCTTTGTCCACAGTTCTTCAGGCACTCTGTCTATCAGATCTAACCCCTTGAATCTATCTGTCACTCCCACTGTATAATCCTAAGGGATCTGAAGAAAGCAAGTGCTATGGAAACAATTTCTAACACTCTTTGGAGGTGTGCTCCTATGGGTTACACAGGTATCTTAACTTGTCTTTCTAACAAAGTGTTAGTTGCTCAGTTGTGTCCTACTCTTTGCAACCCCATGGACTGTAGACCACCAGATTCCTCTGTCTATGGAATTTTTCAGGCAAGAATATCTGACTGGATGGCCATTGTGTTCTCCCAGGAATGTTCCTGACCCAGGGATCAAACTCTGGTCTCCTGCATTGTGGGCAGAGTCTTTACTGTCTGAGCAATAACTAAGAGTTTCTGCCTAAAAGTCTCTCCTTACCCTCACCCAAATCAGTGAATACCAAAGCATAAGTTGTAACAGAAGCCCAAGGTTACTTAATGGGCTCACTTTTCTCTCTACTCTGGTTCCACTACGGGAAAGAGGTATACTCTGTCTTCAACATGGTACCATTTAAGGCAGTGCCTCTACCCTGATGAACACAGAATTACTTAGTGCCCTTTTATTTTTCTGCTACTTTAGTGCAATCAGTAAAGCCCTACAGGTACCACAGAACTGAATGCTGAGGTAAGTACTTGTCTTCAGCAAGTGGTAAGGACACTGAAAAGTCCAGTTAGAGGAGACTGATCTCATCAGTTCATTCAAAATTGCCAGTAGTTCATAAATTAAACACCCTTAACTATTATTTTTACTCTCATAGATTCTGCATGGGCCCACTATCAATGACGGGGGCCCACATTTAACACATAGTTCTACAACAAAATCAGCCTAAGTTAAAAGAAAGTTAAATTTTAAAAAGAAAACAGAATAAACAAAGAAAAATATTTCATGTTGAGAGTTGATGTCATTATTAGCATTGACTTAAAAAATATACAGGATGTCTTACTGGGTACCTATAGATGCCTGACAGTTACTAGTTTTTAATATTTGTCCATTCTAAAGTTATGAACAATTCATTATGACATTCACATTCTAGCATGCCTCCTCCTACCTAGTAGTATCAAGTATGCATAGTTAAAGTTTTTGTTTTTTTTTTTTTAACATAGATTGCAGACTTCTTCGATTTGGAAATTACCTATTTTGGTATCACACAGATACTTGAACTAGGTTACCTTTGTAGTTTCTTTCAACTTTGAAACACTTGATTCCATATTGCAGTAACCAGGTCAATCTTACTAAGTGTAGAAAAAATTTTGTCTGTACTGCATGGATTATCAGGTATGATATGGCCTCCTGCCTCATATTAATCTTTTTTTCCATCTGCCACACAGACTAAAATGTCCCCTCCTATTAGAAGCATTTCTTAAAAGGGATCTTGAATTTTACTTGGATTTGGTCATTATATTACAAAAGAAGGACAATCAATTAACTTAATTTTCCTTATTACTATCAAATATTACATTGAAAATAATGTTCCACAGGCAAGCTTTGGGGGTGACTAGTTGGGGAGCGATCATGATTTTATTTTGTGCTAAGCTAGTTCACCTCCTTAATAGTAGGTTCCCAACCTACTATTGGGAGACTCTGCCACTCTGCCTTCGTATAAAGGGCTACTTATGCTCACTCATTTTGCTTTTCCTTCTATTATCTAGTAAGGTCTTTGCAGAACTTTCCTTTTGTGTGCAATTCTAACTTCCTACTGTAGTCTTTAGGTTTGATTTTTTTTATTAATTAATTTATTTTAATTGGAGGTGAATTACTTTACTATATTTAGTGGTTTTTGCCACACATTTCGGAGAAGGCAATGGCACTCCACTCCAGTACTCTTGCCTGGAAAATCCCATGGATGGAGGAGCCTGGTAGGCTGTAGTCCATGGGGTCGCTAAGAGTGGGACATGACTGAGCGACTTCACTTTCAATCTTCACTTTCCTGCATTGGAGGAGGAAATGGCAACCCACTCCAGTGTTCTTGCCTGGAGAATCCCAGGGAGGGTGAGCCTGGTGGGCTGCTGTCTATGGGGTCGCACAGAGTCGGACACGACTGAAGCGACTCAGCAGCAGCAGCCGCAGCCATACACTAGCATGAATCAGCCAAGGGTGTACAAGTGTGCCCCATTCTGAAGTCCCCTCCCACTTCCTTCCCCATCCCATCGCTCAGGTTGTCCCAGTGCACTGGCTTTGAGTGCCATGTTTCATGCATTGAACTTAGAGTGGTGATCTATTTCACATCTGGTAAAATACATGTTTCAATACTATTCTCTCAAATCATCCCACCCTTGCCTTTCTTTTTAATTATACAAACGCATTGTTTAAATATCCATGTGACCTTTAGAACTAGTCAGTATATGTTATAGACCTGTACTCATTTACTATATTACTCATTCTTCCCCAATTACAAACCACAGGAACATTCCCATGAAAACTGTGTATTGTTCTAATTATATACTCCAATATTATCATCAAGCCAACCACTTAGAAGTGAAGGCATTTGTATATTCCATCATCAATGGTAGAGTCATCAAATCTCCTTGATGCATTACTAATATCATGTGCCAGCCCTCTTTGGTTACATTTCTTTTTGTCAGAAACCTGTCCTTGTAGAAAGAGAGAGTCTTTCTTTGAATAGGGTTTATCACACAACATTCTTCCTGTGTTTTCACAGAAATATTCTGTGAATCGGTAAACAAAAAAGCCTTCTACTTCTTTCGTTTCTCAAAATACTAAATCAGAACTCTCAGTGGTGGAAAAAAAGAGTAACATATAACTTGACCTATGTTTTTCTGAAGGATTACACCTGAAAATAAACAGGGCCTCATAAACCTAGTCAGCAGTTGAAAGAAATAAACTAAGAAGTAAAAGAGTTCCTTTCTTGGTAATTTTCTGTATAAATATGTTTTGTAAATCATTAAGCATACTATCTCAGAGAAATAGTTGAAATTGCAACATGAGGTTATAATGTAAAGGAAAGCAGCAATAGTTTGCAGAGCAAATCCAATGCTCAGCTCAATTTAGTTTCAGGAAAGGGAGCCCAGTCCCATGTCTAATTTCCCATTTGCTAATAAAAGGGAGTGGGGGGCATTGATTAATTTATTAAAACATCATAATTTGAAAATGCATGAGATGAAACCTAATTTGGAGGAAGTTAGAAGATGCCAGATGGAACACCATGTATAATCTTTTCATGTATTGTCTCCAATCTAATTCATTTCATGCACACACACACACACAAAACAGTGTTATCCTATCATCACCAGAATACCTCATTAGCAAACCAAAAATACTTAGGGTTTACTTAGACTGAACACCATGTAGAAAAGGTAGGCTTTATATGCACGTAAAAGATAAAGGGAAGGCAGTTTTGAAACATGAAATAAAAACACTTAAGAGGACAACACTCATTTTAGTAATCTTAATTAGAAAGAACAATTAATTATTTTTCCTTTCTTCCTTCCTCCCTTCTTCCCATAAATACATACTGAATACTTACACGTCCCAGGCAATTTCCAGAACTGAGTAAGTAACAGCAAACAAAACTGACAAGTTCTGTGCTCTCATAATGCTTACATTGTTCTGGGTAAACCCAATGATAAACAAGTACATACATAAGTTAATTTCAAGTGGTAGTGCTATAAAGAAAATAAAACTGAAAAGTCATACTGTTATAGAATAGGCACGAATAAATAAGTATAGTTGGAAATAAGGAAAAATAAGGAAATAAGGAAATAAGATAGTGTTGGAGAGAGTACACACCCTTAAATAGAATGGTCAGAGGTCATTCTGAGTGTTGACATTTTAGCTAAGACTTGAATGATAAGAATGTGACTATCCTAGGGAAAAGCATTGTAGGCAGTTCAGTTCAGTTCAGTTGCTCAGTCGTGTCTGACTCTTTGCGACCCCATGAACCACAGCATGCCAGGCCTCCCTGTCCATCACCAACTCCCGGAGTCCACCCAAACCCATGTCCATTGAGTTGGTGATGCCATCCAACCATCTCATCCTCAGTCGTCCCCTTCTCCTCCTGCCCTCACTCTTTCCCAGCATCAGGGTCTTTTCAAATGAGTCAGGTCTTTGCATGGTAGGCAGATCAAACAACAAATGAAAAGACCTCAAGGAAAGAGAGAATAGCTGAAGGAGAAGGAAATGAGGCTCTCTGGTGTGTGATAAAAGAAGTAGTAGGAGATGAGATGAAAATTAAATGGTACCAGATCATTAGCCTTTAGTGGTCCTGTGAGAAGTTGGGTTTTATTCTCAACATAAGTGAAATTATTGGGTGATTTTAAGCAAAATAATGGTGTGGTCTGGTTTATATTTTAGCAGATAACTTTATTATGTGATACATGAATTTTAGAGGGAAGCAGTAAACCACAGAAACCATTTAGGAATCTATCATATAGTCCAGGAGAGAGAAGGGTAATTCAAATCAATTAAACCATTTCCTTTGAACAGAGTTTTTTGCTCATTATAAGCTTCCTATAATGCAAGGAGTTTTGTAGTGATCAGTGACTAAAAGAACTGCTCTGAGTTTGTAAGTATGGATCAGTGAATTAAAATGAAGGAAAAATCTATTTCTTCAAAGTCATATTGCTTTACGGCATTTCTAATGAAAAGGAACTACAAACAGAATGAATTCTGGAAGGACAAAAAATAGATAACTTACCATTTTTGGCTTTGCAGGATCTATTGTCTGGCTGCAATATGTAGCCTTCCACACAACTGCAAGCATAGGATCCATATGTATTTATGCAGGACTGGCTGCATGTACCATAAATAGCACATTCATCTTGATCTAAAAGGAAAATTGGCATCATTTCTAAGGAGATTTATTGTTGGGTACTTTTTTCCCCCTGAATAATATATATTTTTTCCCAAACTTTGGAAATAGGCTATTTTTTTTTTTTTAAAGAAAGAGCCAACTCCAACATATCTTTTCAAACCACAGAATCTGAACATAAAATTCATTATTATTTTAAGAGTTACAGGTAAGATCAAGCTTAAAATAAAGTCATTTACTTTAAAGGAGAATTTGTTTGCATTTTTGATGGCCAGGCTAAAAGTCCTTGGCTATTTGTGCAAAGGCATTACATGCACTTTGATGAATATTTGCTCAAGAGTTCTAGTGTTTATAAATCTCGCTTTTTCAGTATTTTAATAAAGAACTAGTCTGGAGACATAATTTTCAATGAACACATTAAATGAAAGTTCTGGGCCAAGATATGTAAACCACCTTCACTAAATCAAAAGAAGGAAACTTAAATATTCATCAAAAAGAAAAATTTTATCTTATTTTTTATTTTAATATCTATGGTCCTTCTCCTATTTCTTCATTCCTTCCACTCCCAATACTTTTTTCCTCCAGTACTTGTCTAAACCTCTATTAGCAGCAGGTACCTAATGATTGTTCACCAACCAGACAAATTAAAATTAAAAAAATCAGTTAAAAATTTAGACAAATGTGTATTCAGCCTGTCTTGTGTACCAAGCGCTATTCTAATTCCTTAAGAAACTAAAACTGATAAAACATGGTTTCAACATCTAGGTGAAACAAGTCTAGTGAAATAAGAATCTCATTTCTATGCATTTCCTTATAATAAAGGTATTCTAGCTATGAAAGAAACAGAGAGAGGTAAATGAACCTGCTTGGAATTGAAGGGAGGATGTTAAGTGAAGGCTTCATACTGAGCTGAGATTAAAGGATGATTTAGATTTCCTCAGACTAAATAAAAATGGATCAGATGGAAAGAGGTATTGCAGTTAAAGAAAACAGCATGTGAAAAATCATTGGGATGACACAGTAGGGATTTCAAACAAGTGTAAGTAGTCAAGTGGAATAAGGGTAAATATAGGGAAATAGTAAGAGGTAAAATTGGGAAAACAGTCTGGGGATGAGATAATGAAGTTATTTGCATGCTGAAGTGCTATAACAGTATAGGCATTGGGGAAACATTAATTATAGGAGTTTTATGATCTACTTTGTATTTTAAAACTAAATAAAGTCATATGAAAAATGGATTAATGATTAGAGAAAGAATCCTGGAAAATTACCTATGTGCTAATTTCATATAACAAATTGTGTTTAGAAGTCATATTTTGAACTATAGTGGCAGTAACAATGGAGAAGTAGGAATAGACTCAAATGTTTTAAGAAATAAAAAAGATAACATGTGAAGACTAGATATGTTGATAAGTGAATGGTGGTTTAATTTATAAGAAATATAGATTTGAGGTGGCTCAGAGGTTAAAGGGTCCGCCTGCAATGCGGGAGACCGGGGTTCGATCCCTGGGTCAGGAAGATCCCATGGAGAAGGAAATGGCAACCCACTCCAGTATTGTTGCCTGGAGAATCCCATGGATGGAGGAGCCTGGTAGGCTACAGTCCACGGGGTTGCAAAGGGTCGGACAGGACTGAGTGACTTCTTCACTTCACTTTAAGGGATACATGGTTTCTCTGGTTGCTCAGAGTAAAAAATCCACCTGCCAATGTAGGAGACTCAGGTCCAATCCCTGGGTCGGGAAGATCCCCTGGAGAAGGAAATGGCAACCCACTCCAGTATTCTCACTCGGAAAATTTCATGGACAGAGGAGCCTGGCAGGTTACTCTCCATGGGATCGCAAAGAGACAGACATTACTGAGCATGCACTCACACACTAGAGGATATCATGGGAGGAAATAGTAAATTTGATTTGGATGTGTTTAATTTGAGATGTCTGCAGAGTATCCTTGAGTAAATGTTAATAAGTAGTTGGAAATATGGGACCAGTAAATAATACAAGGTGAGGTTGGTCTTGGAGTTTCAGAGAATCAATAGCATATGGATAATAGATTTAAAAAAATAGCAGAGACTTGATCCCACAAAGAGAAAGGGTAAGTCAGAAAACAGATATAGAAATATCCTGCAGGATACCAATATTAAAAAGGCAGGCAAGAAAGAGAAATCCATGAACCTCCTCTGAAGAGTGTTAAGTCGATTAAACTGCCTGGGTATAAGAAGAATATCTATCTTCTGAGTTATACAAAGTAGCTTCTGTTAATTATAATAAGGTCTTCTGAAATACTCTCAAATCTAAACTAATGAGGTAACTCAGGGTGGGACCATAGACAATCTCAGAATGGGACTGGTCATCAGAAAGACCAAACAAGGTATCAGAGGACAGAACTCTCAATCCCAAGCAAAGAAAGGAGTTTACTAAGGAAAAGCAAGAACATTCCTGAGTAGTCAAGGAACATTTAAGTTGAGAAACTAACCCTGATGTACTATAAAGCAATGAGCCTCTAGGATAAGAATACCTGGGCTCTGGAGATCTGCATTTTAGTTCCAAAGTACTTTACTAAAAAGAGGTGAAGACTTAAGTAAATCACTTAATTTTTCTGGGTCTCACTTTTGTCATTTTGTCATGAGGATTTTAAAATATATTCTCGGAGGATTTTTCTAATTTTAAGATTCTGTTTTTAAGGTAAAAGTTAAAATATTAAAGCAGAATTGTAAAGTAATGAGCAAAGCACCAATTTCTTTGGAAAATATTCTATATATAAGTGTTGCTGACAATCTAGATATTCTTCAGTTTTATACATAGATTCTGTATTCCATGTTTTCCTTATATAGATTTTACATACCATATAAAATAAGTTTTTATATTGTGGATACACATACACATGCATACTTAAATATATAAATATAATAGAATTCTATAGAATTGAGAAATAACCTAAAATAGTTCAATATGGCTGTGTAGAGTCATTTTGGGAACTAAATATTTGGTGTACAACATTCATGAAGGCAAAAATTAAAATATAAAAATATAAATATTTTATGTTAATTAGTACTCAGTTCAGTTTCCCAGTCATGTCCGACTCTTTGCGACCTCATGGACTGTAGCATCCCAGGCTTCCCTGTCCATCACCAACTCCCAGAGCTTGCTCAAACTCATGTCCACTGAGTCGGTGAAGCCATCCAACCATCTCATCCTCCACTGCCCCCTTCTCCTCCTGATTTCAGTCTTTCCCAGCATCAAGATCTTTTCTAATGCGTCAGTTCTTCATATCAGATGGCCAAAGTATTGAAGCTTCAGCTTCAGCATCAGTCCTTCCAATGCATATTCAGGATTGATTTCCTTATTTCATTATTATTGCTATTGGTCAAATATCAGTCACCGGTATTACTAATGCAAAAGTTGAAAGAACATTACATGACTACTATTAACCTAAATTGGTTAATAACAGATTACTACACTGTAACTATGTAACAGGTATAAAATATTGAGATTAAAATAATTAAATTCAAAGTTTTAATGACTAAAACATACCCCATGTTGATATGTCCAATGTTTGATATTACTGCAATATGAATTGAAAATTTATATCATTGTATGAGGAATATAAAATATGGCACAAATGAACTTATCTAGAAAACTGAAACACACACACATAAAGAGTAAATTTATGGTTGCTAAAGGATAGGGGCAGAGGGAAACAGATGGAGCAGGAGTTTGGGCTTGGTAGATGCAAAGTATTACATTTAGAATGGATAAACAAAAAGGTCCTGCTATATAGCATAGGGAATTATGTTCAAGATCCTATGATAAACCATAATGGAAAAGAATATATAAAATAATCTATATACATGTATAACCAAGTCACTTTGCTGTATAGCAGAGATCTGTACAACATTGTTAATCAAGTATAACTCAAAAAAAAGAGAGAATTGACTTTATAAAGACTTATCTAATGTTTCTATATGTGGTTTTGAGGGAAGAGCCAACTTTTAACTCTCAAAATAAAAACAAAAGTGAACATAAATACTATGTGGAACACATGGTAAGTGTGCAAAGATATTTTATTAAATTTCAGAGATTTTACTAAATCTCTGTTAAAATAAAACTGAATAGAATAACATGTCATAGTTACCTTTACAACTTCTTCCATCTTCTTTTATTTCAAACCCATCCTCACAGTAGCACACTGTACTATTTCTGACCACCGCACATTTATGCTGACAATTCAACTGCTGGCAACTGGGCAACAGTTCTGTGGAGGAAAAACAAAGATATTTTGTCTTTATAACTATGCACACATGTATACTATTTAAATTAAATGTTAATATTTACACAGTACACACTGTAATAATAAAGTTTTGATAGATTTCCTAGAAAGTGTCTGTACTAGTTTACAAAACAAACAATATTGATTCCCCCTAAAATTTTCTGGATTGCATTTGTTTGAAGTACTGTCAATAAAATTTCAGATCAATCTGTTCAGCCTTTCACTTTCCCCCTTATTACATATGTTCAAAGTCACAAATCCTTTCAAATTCTGGTAAATTGAATTATTTCAAGAGGAAAAATGTCAACTCAGTGGTTGATTTCACCATTTATGCCTTTCTATCTGACATATCCATTGATTTTCTATCTTTTGTAGCCTTGTTTTGATTTAGTAATCCATGTATAACCTTCAGAGCAATCAATGTGAGTATATTCCATTTCAATAATTTATCTTTCATTGGTGGCAAAATATTAAACACTGGACATAATATATTTCATTATATCTAAACCTTTTCAGAACAAATACGTCATTGAAACCAAGGTTAACAAAACCTTAGAGCAAATTATGATTCAATATGATAAATGCATGAAACAGAGATGAACTGGCAGAGGCATGTTCACTGCACAAATAATTTCTAACATCAATAAGATTTGCTAAACTAGAAAATGTATATGGATAGAATTTATGACTGACTGTGATGTCTGAAAAAGGGATATTAATGGATTGTGGCAATTTCTTTTTTTTCTTTCCCGAATAGGGAGAAAAATAAGGTTTTAAAGTTAAATGATTCAAAATAAATATCTGCCACAGACTTAGCTGTTGTTTCAGAAATATTATAAATTTGGATACAAATACATGGAAACTCCAACGTGTAAAAGAATAGCTAGAACATTCAAACCTGGAAATTTGCCATTTTACTAAAAATTAATTATCTTGAGTATTATCTTAGCCCCATTGCTTTTCAACTTTTATACAAGTATTTTATGCAGCATCACTTCTTAAAGATTTAAGGCTCCTTCTTAATGGTCACCTGCAAATGATGATCTTTTTTCCTATTTTCCTGAGAAAAAAGAAGCTATCAACAGAAAATTTCCACAGATTTATGCTTCACTTTGTCTTTCTTGCTTTTCAAATCTGGTTCAACCCATAATTAAAACTCCAACCACAATTCCTGTGCACAAATCCTTGCCCCTTTCACTTAATCAGGGATCAGTTCAGTTTTTCTCAACTTCTTCTCATAATCATTTTTTAAAATTTATATTAGATCAAACTAAACCTCCATCTCTTTTTGTCAATTAAATTCACTGGAACATAACCACAGCCATTTGTTTACACATTGCCTATGGCTGCTTTTACAAACAGAGCTCAACTAGTTGCCTTAGTTGAGTCCTTGGCCTCCCAAATCTAAAATATTAATATTTGCTATATCCCTTTACAGAATGTTTTCTGACCTTTGTATTAACTCATTTCCAGTGTCAAACATAATTTTATTAAAAACAAAAAAAGCTTGATCTCACTTCCTCTACTAGTCACTGTTGCCCAATTTCTCTGTTCCACTTTATAACAAAAATTTACAAAATAATCCATACTCAGTGCCTCTCCTTCCTCTTTGTTTCGATCTTAAGCCCACTCCATCAAGATTTTATCTCCATTGCTCTAGAAAGTGCTCACACATAAGTCTTTGATGACCTTGATACTGATAAGTACAATGGCCTTTTCTCAATCCACAACTGACGACCTACGAGCGTAATTTCACACTGTTAACTACTCCTCCCTATACACAGTCATCACTTTGCTTCCAGGAAGCCTGGTTTTCCTATTTCACAGCCTCTTTTTTATAGTTCCACATTTTCTTCTCAACTTCTTAAGGCTGAAGTGCCCAGGGTAGAAACCTTGCTCCTTTTCTCTTGCCTAAAAGTATGCTACTAGTAAATTCATCAATTATCACAGCTTCCCTTCTAACTGGAATGTAACGCCAATCCCATAACTTGAAAGCTTTAACTTGTGCCCTCTTTTATTTCTGATTTTCACTATGATTACAACTGAGACTTCAAATCTATTTACCTTTGAGATGAAAGTAAAAGTGAAAGTTGCTCAGTTATATCCAACTCTTTGCAACCTCATGGACTTCATAGTCCATGGAATTCTCCAGGCCAGAATACTGGAGTGGGCATCCTTTCATTTCTCCAGGGGATCTTCCCAACCAGGGGTCAAACCCAGGTCTCCCGCATTGCAGGCAGATTCTTTATCAGCTGAGACACAAGGGAAGCTATATTCTTTTGAGATACCTGGAACAATTTCTGCTTCCTTTATATAAATTCAACCAATACATGAAGCAATTGCATCTGATTTGTAGGTTTGAAATTGGGGTAAATGCTAATTATATGCTAATATAAACAATATTTACATAATGTGCAAAGACCAGTCATTTGGTCTGCAAAATGTTATTAATAAAAATACAGAATAAATGTGTTGTGCTTAGCTGCTTAGAATATAGGAAATGGAGGTAGGCATCTGGAAAAATGGGTTGTGAAAGAAGTGAAATTTAAACTAAAATTTAAAAGATGAATTCAGTAGACAAAATTATCAGGATGTACTCCAGATAAAGTAGACAATATGAGAATCTGTTCTTTTTTTTAAATAAAAGCATATGAGATAAATATAATGATAAATAAGCCTGTATGGCTAAAACATAGTATTTGATGTGTTAGGGAATGGGACTGGAACCATTATTATTATTAGCAGTATAGAACTAGATTAATTTTTCAATTAAGTAGAATTTTCTGTTTCAATAGTGGTAGGCAGCAATAGTTGAGGCAGAAGTGATATTACCCTAACTTGTATTGTTTGAAAGTAGAATGATGAATAAAAGATCCAGTGAAGAAAGAAAAGCTATCTAAAAGGCTAGAAATTGGGAGTATGAATGTTTAGATAAATGGATGGCCAAAAACTTGGTGAAGGCATAATAACACTGAGTTAATAGAACTAATAAAGTGAATTAAGAATAACAGAAGGACTGGAAGTTAAGGAGAAATACCAAGTTTGCTTTTGACTGTTTGGTTTAAAATGTTGACAAAAAATATTCTAGGGGAGACTTGAGAATTTGAGTCTGAGAAGAAAAGTCTGAAGTAGAAATAGAAAGTTGGAAGTCACAGCTATAATTGGTAATTGAAGTCCAAAGAGAAAATAGTCGTACCTTTAAAAAAAGAATATTTATGATATAAATCAAACCTAGAGAATTTTTACATGTGAAAGGCAAATTTTTACATGTCAAAGAAGAAATGTGAGAATTAAATAAACATATAGATGAAGGAACTAGAAAGCTTCATAAAATCTAAAGAAGAACAGTCCAGGGAAGTAGAGCAATAAACATTAATTTTTTGAGACATATACTTGGAGATATATGCAGAATACATCATGAAATGCTGGTTGGATGAAGCACAATCTGGAATCAAGATTGCTGGGAGAAATATCAGTTACCTCAGATATGCAGATGACACCACCCTTATGGCAGAAAACAAAGAATTAAAGAGCCTCTTGAAAGTGAAAGAGAAGAGTGAAAAAGTTGGCTTAAAGCTCAACATTCAGAAAAACTAAGATCATGGCATCTGGTCCCATCATGTCATGGCAAATAGATGGAGAAACAGTCAAAACAGTGACAGACTTTATCTTCTTGGGCTCCAAAATCACTGCAGATGGCGATTGCAGCCACGAAATTAAAAGACGCTTCCTCCTTGAAAGAAATGTTATGACAAAACTAGACAACATATTAAAAAGCAGAGACATTACTTTGCCAATAAAGGTCCATCTAGTTCAAGCTAATTTTTTCCAGTAGTCATGTATGGATGTGAGAGTTGGACTATGAAGAAAGCTGAGTGCCAAAGAATTGATGCTTTTGAACTGTGGTGTTGGATAAGACTCTTGAGCATCCCTTGGACTGCAAGGAGATTATACCAGTCAATCCTAAAGGAAATCAGTCCTGAATATTCATTGGAAGGACTGATGCTGAAGCTGAAACTCCTATGCTTTGGCCACTTGATGCAAAAAACTGACTCATTTGAAAAGACCCTGATGCTGGGAAAGATAGAAGGTGGGAAGAGCAGGGAACGACAGAAGATGTTGGATGGCATCACCAACTCGATGGACGTGAGTTTGAGTAAGTTTTGGGAGTTGGTGATGGACTGGGAAGCCTGGCATGCTTCAGTCCATGGGGTCACAAAGAGTTGGACATGACTGAGTGACTGAACTGAACTGAACTTGGATAAAGTCTGAAAATTGCACTGGGTTTCCTAATATCAACTAAGGCCTTTAAAATGGGTTTCAGTGGAGCAGAGGGGACAGAGATACATGAAGTAAGGGGTTGAGACAAAAAGAGGGACAGTTTCTCATAGAAAATACCAGTATTTTATAGGACAAAGAGCATGAAGGTAAGGGTATGACTTAATTTATTTAATCTGTACCTGAGGACAGGCACATTAAATCTTTGCTTTAAATACGTTGTTTTCCATGTAACCCTTTAGCTCAACTCTTTCTTTACCCTGTTTCATTCCAAAGTAAAACATCGATAGACTATTATTTCCATCTTTCTGTTCTCTCCAATCTTGAAACCCCTAGAGTATGAAGAGGACAATACATGCTACAAAGTTACCAACATGATGGCAGTGATGGGGAGAACTGAGAAGAAATAAGAGAAAATGGGTTAAAATGCTCATGAAAGATCAAACCTCACACATGATTTTGAGTATTAGGTGGGAGTCTGATGGTTAAAAATAGCGGAGACAAGGGCAGCTTAGCTTTTTGTTTATTGAAATTTTCCTGCATGAGAACTTCTGTTTGTATAGAATGATGATAGGGAAACAATTAAGCAGTGTTTTATATCAGATGAAATAGTAAATATTGACTATTCTAACAGATTGTGAAAAACTATGAAGAGCTAACAATATGAAAAACTAAAATTTAATATTTGGCTTGGCTCTGTGGAAACA